AATACAGTAGTTACTGTGTATTGAACTACTTTTTCTATCAATTTGGTGTAAAACATGATGTTTTGGTGATTAATTTGTAAAATCATAACATAATTTGTCGCTTTCCCTTAATCCCTCATTATCCAACATTTTCGCTTATCCAACATTCTGCCGGCCTGTTTATGTTTGATAAGAGAAACTGACCATTCAACTAGTCCATTTTGGGAAATGATCAATTAGATTCAGACACCTGAAACTATGGATTCCAGAGGGTTCCAGGATTTAACCTCATCAGAGTGAAAGCCAAAACCAAGGTCACAACAACATCTGTTATAGAACTCCAATATGCTGATGATAATGTTGTCCGTGCACATTCAGAAAAAGACCTAGAAGCCACTCTATCCACCTTGCGTCGAAGCATACAAGAAGCTGGGCCTCTCATTGAACATCGAGAAAACCAAAATGCTCTTTATTTAGGGTTTTTATATCCCGTCCTATCTCAACCTACGAAGAGGGACTCAGGACGGCTTCCAGCAGTCGCCAGCCAATCCCTCTCCAATGCCAGAAATACAGCTTAATCGTGAAACATTATTTCTAATGTTGACTAGTTCCGCTACCTTGGCAGCCACCTCTCAACAAAAGTCAACATTGACACGGAAATACAATACTGCCTGAGCTCTGCGAGTGCAGCATTTTTCTGAATGAAGCATAGAGTGTTTGAGGACCGGGACATTTATGTTGAATAAGTGAGACCATACCGTAGTTATAAACCATTTTAACCCCCTTTTCCATCTGTCTTTTTAAACTCGCCATGTTGTTGGATGCATTTTCAGGCTTTTAAGTGTCATTTTTACATTGCTTTACATCATTTTGTGTTGGTTGTCTTGTAGGACATCCCCAAGAGCTCCAGATACAGCAATAAATACAAAGAAAACAGATAAATGTGGCTCATTCAGAGTCCCCATTTGGCGCATTCATTTTGCAATTGACCCTGCTTTCAATCTCAAAGGTTTCAATGCTTCCCCAATGACTTGGTGACTGGCAATATGCTGGTGCTTCTAGGTTAGGCCACACCTCCTTTCCATTGGCCACACCTCCAAAACAACCTCCAGAAATAGAGCTTGGTCCTCCAACTGAGAAGGGTTTCCTCACCCTTCATTTGAACTTTTGCATGGATTTGATGCTCTCCATTGCGATACTTTGGACAACTTGCTCCATTCATGCTGGATCATAGAATCATAGAGTTGGAAGAGACCTCACGGGCCATCCAGTCCAACCCCTTTCTGCCAAGAAGCAGGAAAATTGCATTCAAAGCACCCCTGACAGATGGCCATCCAGCCTCTGTTTCAAAGCTTCCAAAGAAGGAGCCTCCATCACACTCCACAAGGTGCAGAGAGAGTTCCACTGTTGAACAGCTCTCCCAGTCAGGAAGTTCTTCAGATGGAATCTCCTGTAGTTTGAAGCCATGGCTCCATTGCATCCTCGTCTCCAGGGCAGCAGAAAACAAGCTTGCTCCCTCCTCTCTATGACTTCCTTGCATATACTTATTCATGGCTATCATGTCTCCTCTTACCCTTCTCTTCTTCAGGCTAAACATGCCCAGCTCTTTAAGCCGCTCCTCATAGGGCTTGTTCTCCAGAGCCTTGAGGACCTCGAGATTTGTAGGATCCAGAGATTGGTAGGAGGTAAGAAATAAAAAGTATCATCATCATCATCATCATCATCATCTAGGGATCCCTTAAGTTCTCCAATGACCACATTCTGAGTCATGCTGGAAGACCTGGGAAATTCCTAATGTGTTGTCAAAGGCCCTCATGGCCATAATCACTGGGTTGCTGAGTTTTCTGGGCTATCTGGCAATGTTCCAGAAGCATGCTCTCCTGATATTTTTCCTTATGGTCGAACTCTTGCATCCATAGGTTACTATGGGGAATACCATTGCTTGAACTAAGAAGATCTCTGTTGCCAGTGATTTCTCTACCCTTGACTCTTTCATCAAGACTGGCGACTGCTCTTCTCCCAAGAAGGAAACATCTTCTGATTTCCTGGCTGAGTCTGCAGTCCTCTTCGTGCCTAGAAATGCAAAGTCTGTCACTGCCTCCACTTTTTCTCCTTCTATTTGCCAGTTATCAATCAATCTGGTTGCCATCATCTTGGTTCTTTTGACCCTTCTTCTTTCACCTTGGTTAGAAGGCTCTTCAGCTCCTCCTCACTTTCAGCTATCAAAGTGGTATCATCTGCATATCTAAGGTTGTTAATGTTTCTTCCAGCAATTTTAACTCCAGTCCTGGATTTGTCAAGCCCCGCATGATGTGTTCTGCATACAAGTTGAATAGCTTGGGGGAGAGGATACAACCCGGCCGTACGCCTTTCCCAATCTTGAACCAGTCTGTTCTTGAACCAGTCTTGAACCAGTTCTTGAACCAGTCTGTCCATGGTCTGTTCTTACTGTTGCTACGTGTTTGTTATACAGATTTCTCAGGAGACAGACAAGGTGACTTGGTCTCCCCATCCCACCAAGAACTTGCCACAATTTATTATGATCCACACAGTCAAAGGCTTTAGAATAGTCAATAAACAGAAAGGCGTTTTTCTGAAACTCCCTGCCTTTCTCCATTATCCAGACGTTGGCAACATGGTCTCTCGTGCCTCTTCCTTTTCTAAACCCAGCTTAGAAACATAGAATCATAGAGTTGGGAGAGTCCTCATGGGCCATCCAGTCCAACCCCCCGCCAAGAAGCAGGAAACAAATGGCCATCCAGCCTCTGTTTCAACGCTTCCAAAGAAGGAGCCTCCACCACTGCTGAACAGCTCTCACAGTCAGGAAGTTCTTCCTCATGTTCAGATGGAATCTCCTTTCCTGTAGTTTGAAGCTACTGTTCCGTGTCCTAGTCTCCAGCGAAGCAGAAAACAAGTTGCTCCCTCCTCCCTGTGATTTCCTCTCACATATTTATACTTGGCTATCATATCTCCTCTCAGCCTTCTCTTCTTCAGGCTAAACATGCCCAGCTCCTTAAGCCGCTCCTCATAGGGCTTGTTCTCCAGACCTTTTATCATTTTAGTCGCTCTCCTCTGGACACATTCCAGCCTGTCAATATCTCTCTTGAATTGTGATGCCCAGAATTGGACACAATATTCCAGGTGTGGTCTAACCAGAGCGGAATAGAGCATGGGGGGCATGACTTCCCTAGATCTAGACACTAGGCTCCTCTTGATGCAGGCCAAAATCCCATTGGCTTTTTTTGCCGCCACATCACATTGTTGGCTCATGTTTAACTTGTTGTCCACGAGGACTCCAAGATCTTTTTCACACGTACTGCTCTCGAGCCAGGCATTGTCTCCCATTCTGTATCTTTGCAAATACAGAATGGCCAGCTCATGCCCAGCTCCTTAAGCCGCTCCTCATAGGGTTTGTTCTCCAGACCCTTGATCATTTTAGTCGCCCTCCTCTGAACACATTCTAGCCTGTCAATATCTCTCTTCAATTGTGGTGCCCAGAATTGGACATCTGGTAACTCTCTCTCGCCACATCTTGCTGGAGTCTACCTTGCAGGATCTTGAGCATTCCCTTCCTGGCATGAGAAATCAGTTGGCATTTGTTCCCTTTCTGCTTTGCCCACTCTGAGATTCACTTTTCTTGCCATAAGCTTAAAACTCTGCATTGCCTGGGTATGCATTTCCTAATGCTGTTTATTAGAAATCTGTATTGTTAGCTTTACACCTCTATGGCAATGCTCTGGCCCTGAGAGGGACTCCTATGTACTGCCCTGGTGATGCCCTCTAACCCACTTCTGTTTGTCACCTCTCCTTTCTATATAGTGCCCTCCAGTGGTTGCATTGGAGCACTGCATACATACACACCTATTTATTTATTTTGGGGGGCCTAGCCCTGAACGGGATAGAGATTATAGTTATAGTATTTTAAGTTGGATCATGATGGGTTTGCATACTAAATTTGGTCGAGATCCATCAAACCATGGAGGAGCCTTTGAGGAACAAACATACACACGTAATTTCACTTTTATACATAGATAGCTATCAATTGAACATGTTTTGCACTGAAGGGGCTCCTGGTGAGGCTTAAAATAGGAGCAAGAGGGAACAATTTGGGTTTTGCATTGGGGATAATAACTTCTTTGGGAGAAAAGAGCAATAGGAACAGTAGTCCAACCCACACGGAATGGCAGTTGACACAACGCAGTGAAACCCAAGCCTTGAACTCGACCTGCGTCCCAGTTTCCCAGCACAACCAGTTTGGGACTCTGCGGGCAGAGTGGCTCTACTAAACTAATGAGACAGTGCAGGACAAGGCAGCATTTAAAAAAGGGGTGTTTTGAAGCAGATCACTGGCAGAGACATACATAGAGCATCCCTTGAAGGCTGCAAGTCCACAAACATTTTGCTATCTCTCCCCTCTCAGAGCCGTACAGAGCAGGCCATTGCTTCACAAAGCAACCCTATACAAGTCTACTGGGATGGAAGGCCCCTTACAATAGTCCTGACCCGCAGGTTAAATGTGCATTTGTGAAAATCTGTATCTACATACCTTCCTCTTTGAAGGTCACACTCAAGAGTGCATCTGCACTGTAGAATTAATGCAGTCTAACACCACTTTAACTGCATGGCTTAATATGCTAGGATTATGGGACTTGTCGTTTCACAATGTTGTGCAGATTTGATAAGTGTGGATTTGAAATATAGTAGATGCTCGCTTATCCAATCTCCACTCATCCAACATTCTGTATTATCCAACACAGCTGGATCCACAGCTGTTTCAATACATTGCAATGTTTTGGTGCCAAATTCGTAAATATTTAGCTCGTTACTACATAATGTTACTGTGTATTGAACTGCTTTTTCTGTCAATTTGTTGGAAAACATGTTTTGGTACATGATTTTTAAAATCATAACGTAACTTGACGTTTAATGGACTTTTCCTTAATCCCTCATCAGCCAACATTTTCGCTCATCCAAAGTTCTGCCAGCCCATTTATGTTGGTTAAGTGAGACTCTAGAGCGGGGGCGTCAGAGGGGTCGCCAAAGACCATCAGAAAACAGTATTTTCTGTTAGTATCCGACGTTCTCCCGGCCCATTTATGTCGGAGAAGCGAGACTCGACCGTATTAAATAAAAAAACACTCCACACTTCCTCCGAACCCTGTTTCCTGTTGCATTCTGGATTAAATAGCGGCTCAACTCCATAGCAGAAGTGATTCCAAAATTAGACTTAAAAAAAAAAAGCACCACAAGAAGGCTTCAATCTGTCCCTCTTCTGCTCTAAATTTAAGTAACTACATCCAAATAGCCAAGTCTTGAGCCTCCCCAAAATAGTTAAGTTTGCCCCCTTTTAGCCCCGCCAAAAATATTTGGCTTTTTTGTTACATTCACAATGACATTCCCAAATCCAGCCGGGGAATTTCCCCAAATCCAGCAGTTCTGATTTCAGAGCTCCCACAATGCCTTGCCCTTACAACGGTGGCCTCAGCGTTGTGGGGAAGCCGGGACATTCTTTGCATTAACATCCATTGGTCTGTAAGCAGCCGGCTTCTCCGGGGAAGGGACAAAATCGAAGTTTGGGGGTCTCTCTCCCAAAGGGAGAACCCAAGCCAGTTTCCTAGCCGTACTGCCACTCGCACTCGGCCTTTGGGAGGCACATCCCACTTGGGGGCCTTGCAGAGTCTGAAGGGGCAGGTCAGATGGTCTCGGCATGGGAAACCCCATTTCCCCATCAGCGCGGGGTTTTCCAACAGAGCTTTGCACCAGGCCAGGCTCTTCCAGTGCACCCCATACACTCCGCAAGGCCTGTGCATTCAGCTCTCGGCCCCACAGTTTTGCACCTTGCGAGGGAAATACCTCCCCGCTGGGTACATTCTGGAGTCCTGGCCAAGAAAGGGTCCCGCCGTCTCCCCCTTTTCCAGCCGGAGAGCACGGAGCGCTCGCCTGACCAACGTCCGGAGAAGCAGGGTCCTTTCTGCAGCCGCTCCACTGAGACCAGAGCTCGCAGGGCTTGAAGCCATTCTTGGACAGCTGCAAGCTCGCCAGCTCAAACTCCAAACTCTCGGTGTCGAGGGAGCGACTCCTCCGGCACAACGAGAGCGGCTCCGGTGCCGGTGGACACAACTCCTGGAGGCGGAGGCGGCGGGGAAGGCTGGCGATGCCCCAACTGCAACTTTGGAAAGAGCCGGTAAACATTCGCTCGTCGCATTCAGCAAAGGATTCCTTCGGCACGTAGCAGCGATCCTCAAAGGCCTCGAAGGAGGCGGACAGCTCCTCGCCCGTGTTCCTCTCCAGGTGCTGCTCGCATTCGCCTTCCCCGTCTTGCTCCACATCGACAATGTCAAACGTCACCATAGTGGGGAGGGCGGGAAGGTTCTGGGTGAAGGCCGACCCAGAGTCGGAGCTCCCCAGGCTTTCAGAGAGGCTGGAGAACAGGGTGCCGCTGCTGGTGAACTCCACCAAAGCTTGGGAGAAGTTGACAGCCTGCTCCATTTCGCAGCAACCGTCCGGTTCAAGGGCTTCTCTCCGGTCCGCCTCTGCTCTGCTGGGCTGCTCACTTGGTGGGGAGTCGCAGCAGCCGTCATCCTGAAAGAAAGGATAAGCCACTGGTTTTTCCAGGGCCAAGTCACTTAAACCACGTGACTCGAGCACCATACGCTCCACTTCGGCATCCAAGGCCGAGTCATTTCCCATGAACTGCATAAGGCAGTTGGGGCTGTACCGTTTTTCCAGGCACAGCATATCTTGAAGGTCTTTGTGATCTCGGCTCTCTGCTGCCTTTCCAGCACTGAGACCCTCGGCTGCGACATGCTGGGAGGCTTCCTCGCAACTTAGGCAACTTTGGCTTTCCCCCAATAGGCCACCCAACTTTGGGTTACATTCGCCGTGCTGTTTTTCCCTGGGAAACTGAGTGTTGCGAAGCACCTCAAGGTGTTTCAAGGCAGGCTCCCTCTGCAACTCCCAGAACAGCAGCTGCTTTTGAATGGCAGCCATCCGTTCCTCCTCCGTCTCCATCACCTCCCTCTTCTGACCCATCATCTCGACCAAGTCCTTCTGATCGCGGAGACCAAAGTCAAAGAAGTGGCTCACGATGTCCGGAGGGGATGCTTTAGGATCGAACCAGGACTCACCTCCATGAGAGGGGCTCAGGAGGGTGTCATCGGGTTCATAGAACTCATACAACGCGTCACCGCTGTAACTGTCCCTTGGAAGGCGGTCTTTCTTGACTTCCTCCAGCCCTTCTCCAGCTTCATCCTCAGGACCTGGAGTAGTCGAGTCATAGTAACCTTCGTCACTATTGGGAGCAGACTCTTGCTGGTCGCTGTGCGGTGTTAAGAGATCCACACCTTCCGCGTAGAGTCGAGCTTCCTGCTTGGCCCCGTCTGTGCCCCGACGCTCACATTCTTCCAGGTGTGTTTCATAGGCTTCTCCTGCTTTGACGGCCCCTTCCCACACCTGCTGGAGATACTCCTCAATCCCGTCCGGCAAGGCCATCTCCTCCCCGCCGCCCTGGTAAGTCACCAGACAGGAACCCCTTTTGCCGGCATCTCTACTCCTCTCGGCCGAGGCACAGCTCCCCGCAATGCTGTCGATATCCGGCTCGGCGATGATATCCCCGCAGCCAGTGAAAGAATCAAAGCTTTTCAGGGAGGTCACGTCCCCAAACAACAAGTTGAGCTGCTCTCCGGAAGGCACACGCGGGGGGCTGCGGTCCGGATACTCTGTCTCAAGAGTGTCAGGAAGGTCACGATAAGTTGTGGTGGTACAGAAGACGCCATCTGTGTCCAAATCCACATCCCGAGAGACTTCTCCTCCGCTCACTGCATCTCCTACAATTTCTGGTGGTTGTTCCTTCTCCTGTGGCTCATTGATGCTTGGAGAAACATCACAAGGAGAAGACCTTCCGGAGTCCTCCTTGTCTTCGTGAGTCTTCACACTCTTCTGTTCTTCTGCTTTGACTCCGGTTTCTATCACGACATCGCAAGACCTCCATTCTTGCAGCTCGGTCTTCTCCGGCTCGGTGGCTTTGTTCTTCCGGTGGCGCCGAATGCTGTTGAAGAACCCCCTCAGCCCTTTCTTAGGCCTAGGGAGGAACAAGGATTTCTCTCCGGCGGGTTTCTTCTCGAAGCCCTCCGAACTTCCAGACAAAGAGGCTGACGGGCGGATGAAATTGACCCTCAGGTTGGCCTCCGTTGCCAAGAGGGCGCTTTGAGAACTCGGCAGCTGTGGAGAAGGGAAACTCTCCCCGACATTCGAGGGGCCCTTAAGAGGCCCCGAGTCTTCGTAGCCAATGTCACTGAGGCCATCGTGCGTCTTACTTTTGCTCAGACCCTTTTTCGACGACGCCTTTCCTTGGCCTTTATTCTTCCCCCCAAAGAAGCTCGGCAAGGTACAAATGCTCCTCTTCCCACCAAAGAGCTTAAAGGCTGTTTTCTTCAGCTTGCCTTGTGGCCGGCTCGGCTCAGCCGTGGCAAAGGAAGGGTCGCTGCGCTCCGAGAGGCGGTCGGCGGCCCCGTTCTCCTCTTGCGGCGCCCGGCTGGCATCCTCAACGGCAGGGGACTTGGCTCCCAATTTCGGCTCAAAGCGGGCACTTTCGGAAGCATCCATTCCAGCGTGACTACTTCAACGGGAACTGAATATTCCTGCAGCCACATCTTCCGCAACAGGTTTCCACAAAACCATAGTTGCTGTCCTAAAATTAAAAAAAAGAGGAGAATGGGAAACCAGCAACAATAGTTGAGAGTGTGTCTACAATAAGCAATTTGACCCTGCTTTTACTCAAGATGTAGTTAGATAAAGCCTTCTCTGTCTATTATTATTATCACCGTATATACTTGAAGATGTCAAGTTTTTCAGTCCTTTTTTGAGCTAAAAAAGCTTCCCTCGGCTTATAAAGGGGTCAAGGCTTCAATGCCGCCTCTGGTGTTACAGCTGTTTCCAGCCCTTGCTTGAAATTTATATAAATAAAAATGTAATGTTCGTTTGTGGGATTAACATAACTCAAAAACCACCCATAAACAAGTGTCCATCATCCATAAATACGTGCACACACACAAAACCCCAGCGGAACAGACTTCAATACCCCAAAATACACCATATATACATATACACATACACGCATACACATAAGCACATGCACACATTCATACACACGTATATATATATATGTGTGCACAAACACACACAAATATACACACATATACATACACACATTCATATAGATAAGCACACAAATATACACAATATGCATGTACACATATAAACACACAAATACACAAATATGTACACACACACATATATATACATACAAACACAAATATATACACACATATATACACTCAAAAACACATACACAGACTGGGCCACAGCAACACATGGCAGGACGGCTAGTATCTAAATAAATAAAAATGTAATGTTTGTGGGATTTACATAACTCAAAAAACACTGGACAAATTGACACCAAATTTGGACACAATACACGTATCAGGCCAACGAGTGACCATCACTCATAAAAACACTGAAAAACAAGCAAAAAGAGACTCAAAAAACAAAAACAAAAAAATACATTACAACACATGTGCAAAACCGTATGTACACACATATACACAAATATATACACACACAAAACACACATGCACAGACTGGGCCACAGCAACGTGGGGCAGGGGACGACTAGTATGATATATTTTCCTCTCCTCCCTTAAGAGTGTGTTTTGTTTTCCAAATACTCCCTCTCACTCCGTTTCTCCTCCAAGGCTAAAACTGCCCATTTTGGAAACTTTTTTTAAAAGACAGACAGAGATACAGTGTTCTCTATCACAGATGCTGTTCCAGGACCACCCGCAATAAGTGAAATATTGCAAAATAGGGACGCTCCCTCCTCCCCTCTCTCTCCGTCCCTACTTTGCAGATTTTCACTTATCGCGGGTGGTCCTGGAACGAAACCCCCGCAATAAGTGAGGGAAAACTATATATTAGGGCTGGGCGGTTTCGTTCGTTAATTTCGTAATTAGTTATTGATTAGTATTTAAATTAGCTTACGATCCGATATTGAGCCATTCAGGAGCAACTAAAAATCGAAATGAATTTTTCAATTTATTTCGTAATTGGTTTGAAATCGTTTCGAAATTGTTTCGTTATTATTTCTGTATGTCTGGTGCAAGTTTTATAGTTGTTGTTTGTTTTATCAGTGATAAAAAATAAATTATCACACCAACAGTCAACAACAGAGGGAGAGGGAAGCTTCAGAAGTTCCCCCTGTCCCATTTGGAGGGTTTTTTAGCATTTTGCGCAATCGCGTCCACCATTAACGAATCGATTCGTAATTGTTTCGTAATTGTTTCATAATTTACGAAATTTCGTATATTTCAAACTTTTTTTTAAAAAAAATTCGGAATTCTTTTAAAAAACGAAACGCAAAACCCCCTAAAAACAAATCGAGTTTAGAAACAAATTTTTCCGTGGTTACCCAGCCCTACACACACACACACACACACACACACACACTACACTTGCCTCAATCTCCAACAGACTTCTGAAGATGCCAGCCATAAATGCAGGTGAAATGTCAGGAGAGAATGCTGCTATAACACAGCTATACAGCTCGAAAAACTCACATCAACCCAGTGATTCCGGCCATGAAAGCCTTTGACAACACATTGCTGATTCCCTTTCTCCTTCTTCCTGGACAACCTTTAGCCGCAACTTGAGAACTGATCAAGAGAAGGAACTGGATGCCTTGGAGTTCTCAGTGGGACGCTGGAGAAGAAAGTATGTAGCCAAGGGGGCCACCCATTAAGCCTTCTTTCATTGGAAGGGAGAGGGTTAGAGCTGCTGGTAGGAGGCTTTTAAGCAGAGGCTGGATGGCCATCTGTCGGGGGTGCTTCGAATGCGATTTTCTGCTTCTTGGCAGAAAGGGGTTGGACCGGATGGTCCACGAGGTCTCTTCCAACTCTATGATTCTATGATAAACAATAGGGTGCATCTACACTGTAGGTTTAATGCAGTTTGATACCACTTTAAGCCCTATTGACTGGGACGGTTGCAAATGCAACCCATCCTCCTGATATCCTGCCGCACCCAACAAAATCAGCTCGAAGTCATCAGCAGGTTGAGTAGAGCCTCATCCCTCCGGATTAAAGGGAATTGTGCATGCCAACATTAATAGTGTGGCTAAATCGCTCTCTCACGTGGCAGCCACAATGGAAATGCCTTTTACCCCCTTCATCTAATGACCTCAACAATTGCTAGCTATCTGCCAGGTCCACACATTCTAAATCAATGAGCTCACAGCACACAACGAATGCAAACACCAGTCGTTCAATTGAACAACCAGGTTTCGGCAGAAAGAAAGCAACTTTGCAAAAAACCTGCACATTTCCAGCTCTAGGTCTCTTTCGGCACAGAAAAGGGCCATTTTGGGAGACTACACCCCCCCCCCCCAAATCCCCAATCCCTTCTTGTTCCTGACTTCACAGTGATGTTGGGGAAATGCAACACGCATTTGTGTCCCCTTTCAACAGGTAAATGTTTTTTTAAAAAAATGAAGCGGGAAAATGTTGTTTATTTTGAACAGTCAATATGTGTAATGGTTTCAAATAACTTGTCAGGTTTTATTTCTTAGAGGATGGTACTTATATCTTGAGTTTTTTAAAACAAAGTTCCACACACAGAAATCCAAAACTTTTTGACTCTCCCTTCCTCCCACAGCACTCTAATCCCTATAGAGGCCTATTAACTATTATCCTCAAAGAGGTATCTTGTAAATCACAAACAGTCCCCAAACTCTTCCTTCCTTCCTTCCTTCCTTCCTTCCTTCCTTCCTTCCTTCCTTCCTTCCTTCCTTCCTTCCTTCCTTCCTTCCTTCCTTCCTTCCAACTCCTGACTGCTTTCTTCCCCATCAAACTTCTAACTGGCTGCCTTGCTCCTTCTTTTTTCCTCCGGCACCGGCCATGTCCAGTTACTGAGTTTTTCCCTCCAATTTAATCAGCCAATCAGACTGTACTTCTGGCTAAGAGGCTGCCTGATTGCTCCACCCACCTTACTCCTTAGCTTCTGCAAGCTGGGCCTGGTTTCTACCTTTCACACCAACCCTTTAAGGTAGGCCACCCTGCCTCTTATGGCCTCAGAAGGATGCATCATAACATTGATCAGGTAAATGGGTTTTGAAGTCCTTCTCATCATCATCCAGACTAGTGTTTCCATGTCAGAAGAGACTTGAGAAACTGCAAGTCGCTTCTGGGGTGAGATAATTGGCCGTCTGCAAGCACGTTGCCCAGGATGTTTTGATATTTTACCATCCTTGTGGAAGGCTGCTCTCATGTCCTCGCTTTGGAAGCTAGAGCTGACAAAGAGAGCTCATCCGCGCTCCCCCCAGATTTGAACCTCCGACCTGTCTGTCTTCAGTCCTACCGCCACCGGGGGCTCCTATGTGTACTTTGTTGGATATTTTTTGCATTCACTTTGCAGGTGGAAAAAAGAAAAAGAAATGAAGGCTGAGAACACTCAGGGGGAATTAACGTGCCTGAGTTGCTAAAATCTCATACCTGGCAAAAGGGAAATGGGTCACATTTGTGCACTTTGATTTCCTTTCCTTGCTTCTGAACTACAACAAATATAACCTTGGAGAAAGTATATGACTGTTAGAAATGTTTGACTGCTTTGGAGGACAAAATATCCTTTCCATATAGATCTTTAAATGGAGGCTGGATGGGCATCTTTCTGGAGTGCTGTAGTTGGCTATACTTGGCAGAGAAGGGTGGACTAGATGGCCTTTGGGGGTCCCTTCCAACTCTGAAGATTATATGCCTTGGGTAACATAGATAAGATCATCATCATAGGTTTCAATGTTTAATCTTATTTTAGAGTTTGCATGTTTATTTTTTTTAATAAAAACCTTGTATATTGTATTATTTATAGTGTTAGCCACTTTTAGTCTCTTTAGAAAAATATAATAATAACTAGCTGAACCTGCCACGTGTTGCTGTGGCCAACCCTCCCTCTTTCTCTCCTTCTTTCTTTCTCTCCTTCATTCCCTCCCTCTTTCTTTCCTTTCCTCTTTTTCTTTCCCTTCTTCCTTCTCTACCTCTTTCCTCTCTTCCTTTGCTCTTTGGTTCCATCCTTCCGTCTCTCTTTTCCTTCCTTCTCTCCCTCTTTCCTTTCTTCCCTCCCTCTTTCCTTCCTTCCTTCTGTCTCTCTTTCCTTTCTTCCTTCCCACTTTCGTTCCTTCTCTCCTTCCTTTCATCTCTCTTTCCTTCCTTCTCTCCCTCTTTCTCTCGTTCCTTCTCCTTCCTTCCGTCTCTTTCCTTCCTTCCATCTTTTGTTCCTTCTCTCCTTCCTTCTAACTTTCTTTCCTTCCTTCCCTTTCTCTTTCCTTCTGTCTCTTTCCTTCCTTCTTTCACTTTTTTATTTCCTTCTCTCCTTCCTTCCTTCTCTGCTTTTCTTTCCTTCCTTCTTTCCACCTCTCTCTCTCCTTCCTTCCCCCTTTCTGTGTATATGTGTTTTGTGTATGTATATGTGTGTATATATATTTCTGTATGTGTATATATGTGTGTTTGTGTATATATGTGGTTTTGCACATGTGTTGTAATGCATTTTTTGTTTTTTGGCTTTTGGAGTCCCTTCTGCTGTGTTTTTTTTAATTAATTTTTTTATTAAGGGTAAAAAGGAGGAGAAAGGGGTGTTTTGTATATA